AAAAAAAAAAAAAAAAAAAATTTTGAAAAAAATAATAAGTTAAAAAAAATAAGTAAATAAGCATTTAAAATAATAATAATAATAATAATAATAACAACAACAGGGGCCCCTGGGTGGCTTAGTCGGTTAAGCGTCCGACTTTTGCTTAGGTCATGATCTCGCAGTTCCTGGGTTCGAGCCCGGCATCGGGCTCTGTGCTGACTGCCAGCTCAGAGCCTGGAGCCTATTTCAGAGTCTGTGTCTCCCTCTCTCTCTGACCCTCCTCTGCTCGCGCTGTCTCTCTCTCTCTCTCTCTCCTAGAAATAAATAAAACATTAAAAAAATAATAATAACAACAACAACATGCATATACGCAATTACAGCGCTAGGGCCCTGCAGGGCCTCTGGGGGCGCAGTCCTGCTGACTATCATCCCCAGAGCAGTACAAATACAGCCTGGACAAACAGAGGTGGCAACTTTGCTGCCTGAGCACTGAAGAGTCATTACTATTTCAGAGAGGAGAGATTTAAATTATTACAACACAACTACAACAAATGAGAAGGTAGAAGACTTATGAAGTCTAAATCCTGCTGAAACTGAAATGGTCAACAAATAAATCTCTCTTTAGGGAAAAATTGTCACTCAAATTGCTTAAATTCTGTTTGATTTGTTAAAAGAATCAATCATGTCAGGTATGTTTGAGGGGGTGAGGAATCAGTCTTATTCCTTTATAGTTGGTATCTCCTTGAACAGGTGATATTCCTTCCCCTTAACAGGGTAAGAAAGAATCCCCTGGGGCAACTAGCTGGCAGTGAAAAGCATGTGACTCTTGATTTCAAGGTTGTAGGTTTGAGCCCCATATTGGGTGAAGAGATTACTTTAAAAAATGTGGGGAGCGTGGGTGGCTCAGTCAGTTAAATGTCCTACTCTTGATTTCAGCTCAGGTCATGATCTCCAAATTCATGATTTCGAGCCCCTCATCAGTCTCTACACTGACAATGTGGAGCTGGTTTAGGATTCTCTGTCCTCTCTCTCTGGCCCTGTCTCCACTCATGCTCTCTCTCTTTGTCAAAATAAATAAATTAAAAAAAATTAAACTTAAAAAACAATCTCTTCAAAGAATTTTTAAAAATAAGAATCCCTTTCTTCATAAAAATAAAATATTAAGATCTTTGTTTTATTTTTTATTAAAAAGTTTTTTAATGTTTTTATTTATTATTGAGAGACAGAGCATGAGCACGGGAAGGGCAGAGAGAGAAGGAGACACAGAACCTGAAGCAGGCTCCAGGCACTGAGCTGTCAGCACAGAGCCTGACATGGGGCTCGATCTCACAAACCGCAAGATCATGACCTGAGCCAAAGTTGGACACTTAACCAACTCAGCCACCCAGGCACCCCTATTTTTAAAATTTTTAAATATATTTTTGAGAGAGAGAGAGAGAGAGAGAGAGGGAGAATCCGAAAGAGGCAGGCTTTAGGCTCTGAGCTGTCAGCACAAAGCCGGATGCGGGGCTCAAACTCATGAATGGCAAGATCATGACCTGAGCTGAGGCTCAAACTCATGAATGGTGAGATCATGACCTGAGCTGAGGCTCGAACTCATGAATGGCGAGATCATGACCTAGGCCAAAGTTGGACACTTAACCAAGTGAGCCACCCAGGCACCACAAGAAGATCTTTATTTTTTTTTTTTCAAAATTTATTTTATTTTTAATTTATTTCTAGGAGAGAGAGAGAGACAGCATGAGCAGGGGAGGGTCAGAGAGAGAGGGATTCACAGACTGAAACAGGCTCCACGCTCTGAGCTGGCAGTCAGCACAGAGCCTGACGTGGGGCTCGAACCCACGAACCGCGAGATCATGACCTAAGCGAAAGTCGGACACTTAACCAACTAAGCCACCCAGACGCCCCAAGAAGATCTTTAAATATAACTAAATTTAGGGGCACCTGGGTGGCTCATCTGGCTGAGTGTCTGACTCTTGGTTTCAGCTCAGGTCATGATCTCACAGTCTATGAGTTCAAGCACCATGCTGGATTCCGTGCTGACAGCATGGAGCCCACTTGGGGTTCTCTCTCTCCCTCTCTCAAACGTATAAAAATGTATTTAAAATAAAAAAATAATATATAACTAAATTTAGTCAACAAGTTTTACCAAGTCTCCATTGGCTAACAATTATTTTTCTAGGGACCGTGAATAATGAGACAGGTAGGGAAAGGTCCCTGCCCACCAGGGGCTCAGTTTAGCAGAGGATATAAACCTAGACACATGACAATAGGAAAATGTGTTTAAGTACTGTAACCACAGCATGTACACATTGTTGTGGGTGTAGCAAAGAAAGAGGCTAATTTGGCAGCTCAGCTCCAGAGTTAAGGAAAGCGTCACAGAAGATCTGACATTTGAGGTGGATACTAAAGAATGAACTGGAGCTCAAGAGGAGCCAAGGCAGTCTGGGCAAACTGTGCCCAGGGGCATGAGAGCACAAGCAAGCAGCAGGCAGGAAGGTCTGTGTGAGTGGGGTCTTTGACACAAAGCAGGGAGAAGTGGGAAAGCAGCAGGTCCCCTTCTTCCCTAGGCCCCAGCACTCTAGTCTTCACATGGCTTATCAAAGGAGCCACACTCATTCCCACATGTTCTGCCCCGCCAGCTCCCTCTCATTCTTCAGGTCTCTGATTACATAACAACTCATCCATGAGGCTTTCTCTGACCCCTTTACAGGTATAGGTTCCCCCTTCACATGACCTCCAGTAATGCTCATCCTAGCACCTTATCTTCATAGTTCTTAGGACAATTTTCATTTGTCTGCTGTCTATTTGCCACTCAGACTGCACGCTCCAAAGGGTAGCCTGGTTTGTTTCACTCAGAGCCACATGCAGCTGGTTTAGGGCCTAGAACATAACAGTTGTTCGATATTTGTGGAAGGAATGCCTGACTGCCTGAATGAAATACTAAACGGTTCAATAAAAAGAGGAGGGGGAAGAAAAGGAAATCTGGAGACCAATTAAATAGCTCCTGTATTTAAAACCAAGAGTTTATACTTTCTCTCACAGACAATGGAGAGCTATTAAAACTTAAAATGACATTTTTTGCTATTTTACAGATAACTTCGAATTAACAAATACTAAACTAGTTGTATTATTCTTGTACTTTACTTACTTTTCCATGAAGTTATAATAGGTAAAGTGATGGGAACATGCTCAATTTCTAAACCATTCTCAGTTATTCGGCGCAATCGTCCACGTAGTTTAACATTCTTTCTTATAAATTCTACTGGAATATCTGAAGAACTCGTAAATTTTGATGTCTGTTGATTTATAAAAAAATATAACATTTTATTATTATTTCTTTAACATTAAGTATGTCAAACTGTTGTCTAAATATTTAACAAGAAGACATAACCAGTGAAAAATTTTAATTTAGTCCTTAATTTTAATTAATATTTTCGTATGATCTAATCAAAAGCATTTATAAAAGGGGGCACCTGGCTGGCTCAGTCATTGGAGCATGCGACTCTGATCTCAGGGTTGAGGATTTGAGCCCCATGTTGGGTGCAGAGATTATTTAAAAAGAAAATCTTTTGGGGAAAAAAAAAAAAGTGTTGGGGGCATCAAGATGGCCCAGTCAGTTAGGTGACCAACTTTTGGTTTTGGCTCAGGTCATGGTCTCGTGATTCGTGAGTTCAAGCTGCACTCTGGGCTCTGCTCTGTCAGCATGGAGCCTGCTTCGGAGTCTCTCTCTTTCTGCCCCTCCCCCACTCTCTCTGCCCCTCCCCACCTCCCCTCAAAAATAAACACCTAAAAAAAAGTATGAAACACTAAAGGTTAGAGTTAGTATTTTATAAGATCTTGACAACCAGAATGATGGGATAAAACTAAGGAAGGATAAAAGAGAATAAACTAATTGTGGCATAGATGAAAAAGATTAAGAACCTTTAGTTAATTGTGAACTCAAAATGAGTGGAAGTGTGACAGAACTGCAAAAAAATTTACAGACTCCTTCTCCCCTACACTCTCCACTGCTCTCCACCTAAGTTCAAACACCAAGAAACATTGTAAGGAACAGGATCCAAAACAAGAGAAGTGAGGAAGGGATGGCTCTAAATCAGGACCTAAGAGGAATATACTATTCCGTACTGGGTACCATTTCATAAAACACTTATACAAACTGGCACAAAGCTAGAAGAGGAGAAAAAAGACAATAGAGTCTGGAAACTACATCACATGAGAAAACTAAGAGTATTTTGCACCAGTGTGGGGGGCAAGCTAGGCAGGTGGTGCCTGGGTGGCTCAGTCGGTTGGGCTTCCTGGGCCTCAGACTCTTGATTTCAGCTAAGGTCATGATCTGTTTCGTGAGACTGAGCCCCTTGCCTGGCTCCTGACATCACAGAGCCTCCTTGGGATTCTCTGCCCCAACTCTCTCTCTAAAAATAAATAAATAAGCTAAAAAAAAAAAAAAAAGAGTATTTTGCACAGGGGAGACAGAGTAAGTAGAGAGGATCACTAAAGATGTGTTCAATTACCAAATGTCTGTCCCTTTTAATTTTTAGGTGATTTCATGAAGGATACACATAAAAAAGACACAAGAGTGCCTTGATGTTTGGAGTTTTAGAAATTATTAAGCAGCTAGAGGAGGAAACTGAATAGAGCCCAATGCTCTATTTCCTTGAGTTCACACTCAAGGAGTATGTAAAGAACCTTTAAAGGCAGAACCCACTGTATCTACCTTTTCCGGAGCCATTAATCCCTCAACAGCGTAAAGTTCAGGGATGTGTTTCTGTGCCATGGCAAGCGCTATCTCAAAGATGAACTAACAATACACATAAAACCAGAATACAACTGCAGGGCAATACATAAGCAGGTTTCAGATAAAGTATAAGTGCTAACAGGTCAAAAATGGAAAAAGGATAAGAACACCGGAGGAAGGTATCTTTAAAGGAAGTGAATCCTGGGGTGCCTGGGTGGCTCAGTCGGTTAAGCATCCAACTTCGGCTCAGGTCATGATCTCACGTTTGTGGGTTCGAGCCCCGCATTGGGCTCTGTGCTTTCAGCTCAGAGCCTGGAGCCTGCTTCAGATTCTAGGTCTCCCTCTCTCTCTGCCCCTGCCCCACTCACGCTACATTAAAAATTTTTTTTAAAAATAAAATAAAATAAAAGAAGTGAATCCTGAGCTTGTGATAAACAGTCTGCTTTCCAGAAGAGGCAGAAAGATGATGCCACTAACAAGGATGCTGTCCCTAAGCTGCTGATGGTGAAGTGTCCTAGAGGCAAGAGACAAAAGCGGGAAGCTCTGTGAAGAGAAAATAATAAGGGTTTCAATTTCAGGAAGATGACATTAGAAATCTAGTTCCGCAACATACTACCTGGGTGATCTTGTGAAAATTATTTACTTCTTTGTGCATCCATCTCCTCATCTATAAAACTTGGGTGTAAGAATATCTGTGTCATAGGATTATTATAAGAATGAAATGAAATTAAGCAGGGGCACCTGGGTGGCTGAGTCGGTTAAGCATCCAACTCTTGATTACAGTTCAGATCATGATCTCATGGTTCATAAGATTGAGCCCTAAGTCAGGCTCTGTGTTAACAGTGAGGAGCCTTCTTGGGATTCTCTCCCTTGCTGGTGTGCGTGCTCTCTCTCAAAATGAACTAACGTTTTTTTAAAATGATTTTAAATGAAATTATGTATATGAGCATTTAGCACAGTACTGAACTCAATCATCATTTTTTATTTTTTTAATTTGAAGTTTGGAATTGTCTACCAGTAAGTGAAAGAATTTGAGAACTTGATAACCTCAGGAAGAAGAAAAAGGAGAGAAAAACGGCAATACAAAAAGAATACAGAAGAGGAGCCATTAAGGCTTCTTGTGGCAGGCCCTTTGTAGGTGAATACAATATTCGTTCTCAAGACTCTCTCCCTCATCAGCAGGTACTGTTAGGGATAGAAAAGCTAAATGGCCACTTTCCCAACCTCCTTTCCAGCTAGACGTGGTCATATGATAAAGAGATGGAAGCAAAAGTTGACTGAAGGCTTCTGGGAAAATTTTTGCATTCTTGATGAGACGTGGCTCACACCTTCCTTTCTCCTCTCCTTTTTTCTTTTTTCTTTTTTCTTTTTCTTTTTCAATGTTTTATTTCTGAGAGAGAGAGACAGTGTGAGCAGGGGAGGGTCAGAGAGAGAGGGAGACACAAAATCTGAAGCAGGCTCCAGGCTTTGAGCTGTCAGCACAGAGCCCGATGTGGGGCTCAAATCCACGAACCAGGAGATCATGACCTAAGCCGAAGTCAGATGCTCAACCGACTGAGCCGCCCAGACTCCCCCCTCTCCTTTTGCTTTGAACAGGAATATGTTATTTGGAGCTAGAGCAGCCATTCTGTGCCATGAGGAAAGGCACAGAGAATCATACACACAAAACTCTGTCACTGAGCCACTCCAGGCATCTTGTGACATGAGAAACAAGCCTTTTTACTTGGTTGAGCCACTGCTGGTTGGGGTTTCTGTTACTTGTAGCCAAAGTCCTCCAACTGTCACACAACAGAGTTTTTTGCCCCCCAGTATTCCAATGCTCTTTTTCTAGTTTCCTAGCCTGCTCTTCTCATCACATTAGTCACCATTATCAAAAATCATAAAATCTAAAAAAAAAGACACCAGAACTAAAGTTTAAAATGAATAAATCATAATATATTAATATACATTTATATTAATTAATAAGTAATTTGCAAAAATCAGTAACATACCTTATATTGTATAACTTAAAATCATCTATAATTGACTCATGTCATTTTTAAGGGCTAACAAGAGAAATACCCCCTCAGCATTATGTTTATCTAACCACTTTTATTTTTAAGTTTATTTCTTTTGAGAGAGAGAGAGTGAGCAGGGGAGGGGCAGAGAGAGAGGGAGACCGAGAACCCCAAGCAGCCTCTGTGCTGTCATTGAGAAGCCCAACACAGGGTTCAATCTCAATAAACATGAGATCATGACCGGAGTTAAAATCAAAATCAGACGCTTACCTGACTGAGCTACTCAGGCCCCCTGTATTTTTTTTTACCTAAACTCTTAATCAGATCATTTAATATTTTGACAATATACAAATGTCATGGAACACAGAACATAAGGTAAAGAAAAAATGAAATGAAATGAATGAAAACAACTCAAGTTTCAAAAGTTCCATTCTAAAAATATATATAAGCTAAAAATGAATGACTTACAATATAATGGAGTTGTTAAAAGAAAAAGCCTATTAGATTATTAGATATAAGGTTAAAAATGAATTCAAGGCACTTAATAAAGAGGATAAAAGTTCTGACATTGGAGTCAGGGGGAAAAGGCAACAGTTGGAAAAGCTACAGTATAATAGAGTAATGCTGTGTAGACAATGATACTATAAAACAATATAGAGATAATAAATGTAGGGAGTAAATATACACAGAAGCAATAAATCCATACCAGATTGTAACATGACACTAAAATTACACCCAATAACAAGAATCAGTTATATAAAAAGATACTTCTAAATCCTGAACTACCAAATGGATTTCCACAATATCTACTATTAAAAAATTATTCAAAGGGCAAAAAAATATGCTAACTGAAAGCATAAATTCTTTTTTTACATCATACATCCTGCTTTATTCATTGAACAGGTATTACAGATTGTTGCAAATCAGAGAAAGCATAAATTATTCAGTGCTAAAGGACATAATTTGACTGTGATCTAAATCTAAAATCACTATACAAAACAGTTCTGAGACATTCCACAATGTCTGAAATGCAAATTTAGTGATTATAGCATTCTAGCAAACCAAATCCTTTACAGATTCCTTTTTAAGCATGAAGACGTGATTATGAAAATACAGACTGTGCAATTACTTTCCATAAAATCCTGTGGATGTGTTACTTTTAAATCAAGATCTTAAATATGTTCACTGTTCTAAAACAATATTTAAAACTTCTAATATGAATAGCAAAATGATACACAGCTTAAGACAAAAACTGTCTTGAAGTGAAAAAAAATAACTGTCTCTTGCTTATCACAGTTCACAGCTCCTTCTTCATTTTTTAAACTTACCATCCGAATACTTCTTAGAAGTAACATTATTCCAGCTATGGCCATTACGGTGCTGATATTCTTCAGAAAGAGATTAAATGATTAATTCTCACTAGTTATTATTCATAATTGTGAAAGTACTAATTAGAAGGGGGAAAAAAGAAGACTGTCCTCCTTATATCTGTCCAAATAAGGTACATCCTTCAACTAAAGGTCCATTTCTTCCAAAAAACTTCCTTAACTGCCCACCTACTCATTAATCTCCCCTTTCTTTCCCAAACACTCTGGCATGAACAGTAATTATACATATAATATTTTATTGTTCTCTATTGCCTTTTACTTTATCCATGAGTTCCTTAACTGCATCAATCAGTCTAATTCTTTTTGAATAATGCCCACAGCAATTTGCATAATCCTGAGCCTACAGTGGGAATTTAAATCTTTGGTAGAAAAATTTACCACCAAAACCTTAAAATACAATGCCTCCGATGTATCTATGGGTGAACAGTTGGGAAAAACTTATCAATGTTTTTAAAGGGTTTCATTTAAACTGAAACGGACCTAAGAGAGTTTAATTTAAAAATAAGAAAACTGCGGGGCACCTGGGTGGCTCAATGGGTTAGGTCTCCGACTTCAGCTCAGGTCATGATATCGCTGCTTGTGAGTTCGAGCCCTACAACTGGCTCTGTGCTGACAGATCAGACCCTGGAGCCTGCTTTGGATTCTGTCTCTCCCTCTATCTGCTCCTCCCTCTCTCAAAAATAAAATAAATAAAATAAATAAAAAGAACCCTGCAACTCCCTCAACAAGAGTGATAATCTAATATGATTTCCTTCAATAAATACAACTAGGCATGTTAGAAATGAAGCTGAAAAATATATACAAGGAAAGAAATGAAGATGCAAAGATTGGTCTCAGTGTTGAAGACACTTAGATACAACTCTGATCTTGCAAACAGAAAATAAGGCAATGGACATTTTGTAATTACCAATACATAATGCTTTTTGTTCTGTGGATTTTGCATTTGTAGAAGGAAAAAGAAAGGAAATATACACTAGGATACAGTCTGTGATTAAGATATTTGGAATAATATATCTATGTGCTAATTTAAACTGTTACCTCTCTCAATCTATTGAAGTCATTTTTTTAATTTGAAATGACCTGTGCATCAATTTCTGCTTCACTGGAAGAACCCAGGCCTTGTCAATTAATACCTACAGATCTATCATTCATTAATGCCACCAATACGTATCTAGCGCTTACCAAATGGCACGCAATACTCTAAGGGCAGGAGCTGTGGCGGTGAAAGAAAACAGCCATAGTCCTGGCCCTTGTGCTGCTTAGCTGCAAAGCGTTTGCAAAGCTGATGGTCCTACTCAACTTCTCAGTAGGATTTAACAAAGTTAATCATTCTCTCTGAAAATTCTCTCCGCCTGACTTCTAGGACACCTGGTTTTCCTCCTCCTCCTTCCCAGTTTTTGCTGATCTCTTCCTTTTCACTTCCCATATTCTAAACGGTAAGAGCGTTCCTCAGGTCCCAGGTCTGAATTCTAGGACTTTTTCAGTAGTTTTTCTGACTTGCTCCAAGATGTCAGCCAGGCTTTAAACACTACTTAAGTTTTACGCAGTTCATTCAAGAAGTTATACGTTCAGTTCTGATCTCCCTTCAATGCCAGATTCCTAGATCTAAGTTGCCCAGATAACATCTAACAACTCCCTTCAGAATTCTAATAACCATCTTCAAGTTCACACACCTCCACCTTCAAGTTCACAGGTCCAAAGAGTCCTCTGAATTTTCCCAACAAATCACTGACCCCCATTTCTCCACAGAAGCAACCTTCACCACATCCACCCAGTGGGGAGCCCCCTTGATTCCTCGTTCTTTGCGCCCCACACCTAAACCTTCCACACCACCTCCGGGGTCTTAGCCACAATCTTGGCTTGTCTGGTCACCTAAGATGTCCCATTTTTGGTCGAACTCCAGTGCCCTCTCACGTCACTCAAAACACAAGGCCTACAGGACCACGTGCCCTGTCTTCCACCCCCTTGTCTCCTGTGCCCTGTGTCCCCAACTGCTTTCCAGGGACCCCTGACGCCCCAAGCTGGGCTGCGTCTCGGCCTCTGAGGTTATCTCCGGGGCCAAGCACTGTCCTGGCCTCTCCAGGCCGCCGCGCCCATGCGGCGCAGCAGGCCCCGGCGGGCCGCGCTCCCCGGGCTCCCCCGCACTCGCGACCCCGGCAACGTGGCCCTCCGCCCCGCCCGGCCCCGACGCGCTCCACTGCCCGTGGCCTCCCAGCGCCGCGTCTCCCCAGGCTCGCTCCACGCGACCCCGCGCCCCCTGCCTGTCCGGCCGGCGGGCCAGCGATACCCGGACGAGGCGCAAGTGGTCGTCCGCCCATTTCGATACCCGCGCCACCACATTGGGCGCCGCTCCGTCCCGGTCCGGCGCCTGCGAGGCGGGGGCCACAGGCCGCCCCGCCATGTTGCTGGCTTCCCGCGAGCCCGCGACGCGCTCCTCGGGCTGACGGCAGGGGGCGCTGGGCTCCTCCGGCCGACGGCCAGGATCCGGGCTCCGCGCGGTGGTTGATGATGGGGTCGCCGCCCCCGCCGCCTGGGAGTGGCCTTACGACTCCCTCTTCGCTTGTAGGTGGGACTCTCAACTCGATGGAAGACACCGTATCAGTGACCTCCTCCCCCAGCCTTTATTCAGGATTTTCCCACTGCGCCGGACATTCTTATGGGACAGGGACGGGGGCTGAAGGCTTCTCGGCCATGCTGGTTTGGGAGGACGATCAGTTTGGGACTTCGGTTAACCCAGCCTTAGTGTGGGTTCCGCCTCTACCATGCAGAAAGGAAATTGAAGTAGTTCATTCCCTCTACCTGCTCCCAAATGTAACAAGATGCCTATATCTTATGTTTGGTTCTTTAAAATTTGCACAGTTGCTTGGTAATCCTATCAGATGCTCTAAATTGTTGAACTCTTAATTAAAATATATGGAAAGTGGACTACATTAGTATATTTCGTATATTATTAGTAGTATATGTTCATATATAAGTAGATTTTAAAACACAAATTAGATGCAGGACATTGTAAATGGTAACATTTGTGTAAAAAATTGTGTGTGTGAGAAAGAGAAAACCGTGAAAATCTATGAAAGAAACCTACAACAGTGATTGCCCCTGGAGAGAGGGATTGGGGTGGGAATGGTTGGGAGGCTTTACTATCTACCAGCTGTAATAGAACATTTTGCAGTGATGGAAACGTTGTATATTTGAATTGTTCAGTTTCAACCTAATAGCCACATGTGGCTCTTGTGTGCTTGAAATGTAGCTAGTACAACTGACGAACTGAATTTTTATTTTTTTAAAGTAAGCTCTAAACCCAACCTGGGGCTTGAATTTATGACTGGAATCCAGAGTCCCATGCCCTTCGGACTGAGCCAGCCAGGGGCCTCAGGAACTGAATTTTTTTAAAAAAAAATTTTAATGTTTTATTTATTTCTGAGAGAGAGACAGCATGAGCAGGGAAGGGTCAGAGAGAGAGGGAGACACAGAATCTGAAACAGGCTCCAGGCTCTGAGCTAGCTGTCAGCACAGAGCCGTACGCGGGGCTCAAACCCATGAACCGTGAGATCATGACCTGAGCCGGAGTCAGACACTTAACCAACTGAGCCACCCAGGTGCTCCAGGAACCGAATTATTTATTTATTTTTAAATGTTTATTTACCTTTGAGAGAGATAGAGAGACACAGTGCAAGCAAGGGAGGGGCAGAGAGAGAGAGGGAAACACAGAATCTGAAACAGGCTCCAGGCTCTGAGCTGTCAGCACAGAGCCTGACACCAGGCCTAAACCCACAAACCTGAGATGATGACCTGAGCTGAAGTCTGACACCTAACCGACTGAGCCACCCAGGCATCCAGGAACTGAATTTTTAATTTTCTTAATTTTAATTAATTTCAATAGTCACATGTGACTAATGGCTACCATAATGGACAATGCAGGTATACTGTTGGAATTTTTTTAATGCACATAATTACCTTTAGAAGTCAAAATGGAGTATGTTGTATTCCTAACACACATATTATGAGTAGTACCTTCAAGGAATGTATTGCCTTAGTACTGTAGCTAATAGAAAGTTAATAACAGTAACTAACACTTAGATCTTACTATGTGCCAGGCACCATTCTAAATGCTTTTCATGTTTTAGCTCCCCTGATGCTCACGGCAACTTTCTAAGATGGACACTGTTATCAATCCAAATTTTAAAGAGTAAATATGCAGAGTGATTAAGCCAGCAGCAGCAAGGTCACCCACCGGGGAAGTGGTGAGCTTGGCTGTTACATTGGGATTCAGCTCAGCCAATTGGCTCAGTCTGTGGACTTGACCACAGCACTTCCTCCCATAGAGGCAATCAGCCAAAACACATCAATCCTTATAAATTTCCAGAAAGGGAAAATCCAACTAAGAAGATATACTATAGGGGCACCAGAGTGGCTCAGTTGGTTAAGTGTCTGACTCTTGATTTTGGGTCAGGTTATGATTTCACAGTTCATGATTTTGAGTTCCAAAATGGGCTCTATGCTGACAGCGAGGAGTCTGCTTAGGATTCTCTGTCTCCCTCTCTCTCTTCCCCACCCCCCCAAATAAATATTTTTAAAAAGATACACTATAACTAAAATCCTTAATCACAATTTCAAATAAAAACAAAAGTTACATGTATTAAGAGACTTTGAATAGCTTTAGTTCAAAAGTAGAAAAAATAAGATTTCTTCATGGCAGTTCTGTTCCCAATTCTTCTTTTGCTGTTTCTTTTTTTTTTTTTAATGTTTTATTTATTTCTAGGAAAGAGAGAGAGAGACAGCGTGAGCAGGGGAGGGTCAGAGAGAGTGGGAGTCACAGACTGAAACAGGCTCCAGGCTCTGAGCCGGCCGTCAGCACAGAGCCCGACGCGGGGCTCGAACCCACGAACCGCGAGATCATGACCTAAGCGAAAGTCGGACGCTTAACCGACTAAGCCACCCAGGTGCCCCCTTTTGCTGTTTCAATGTCCTGTCTCTACAGCGTTTCTGCTCTCTCTCCTGTCCTAGTTGAAGACAGCTCTATCCATTATTCCTACTTTCCAACCCAGTCTTCTTTTCCGTAACTCAGACATCAGCCACCTGGGTGTTTCCAAGTCCTCTAGATATCTCAAAGTGTCCCTTTCAATATTTCAGCATCATCCCGCCAATGACTGATGGGAGAATCCTGCCTGCCCCAGGATTTCTGCAGATTGAGAGATTTAACATTCTCCTGGGGTAGCTTTACCAAGGACTCCTGCTCCTTTTGCTGCTGATCTCCCTGGATATGCTGCTTCTGTGAGTAGAGAGGTATGCACGAAAACCATGCTTAGATTCATTGCCCGCTCCTCAGTTTCCCACAATACCATGAACACAGAGACGGAGTCTGTAATAGACTTTTAATGAGGTTTGATGTTAACTATGAAGAATGATAATTAATAAGAAATTAACCGAATGTTAATGTGACTGTTTCCAGAATCCAAAGAATTAGGGGAAAAAAAGTGAGTATTTAATGAACACCCCCCACCCCAAACATCTCAGTTTCTAGCATTGATTTCTGGTCAAAGCCAATCATTCCATTCTGTTATAGAATGAAGATTTCACTCCAGAATTCCTGTGTGACATTCTAACCTCTGATGTGATGGTGGTATTGGAAGGTGAGGTCTTTGGGGGGTAATTAGGTTTAGATAAGGTCACGAGAGTGGAGCTCCTATGATGGGGTTAATGTCATTAGTAAAGAGCTCTCTCTCTCCCACCCATGTGAGCAGAGAGAAGGTGGCAGTCTTTAAGCCAGGAAGACAACTCTCAGTGGGGACCCAATCTGCCAACCCCTTAATTTTGAACTTCCCAGTGACAAAAGCTGTGAGAAACAAATGTCTGTTGTTTAAGCCACCCAGGCTCTGGCAATTTGTTACAACAGCCTAAGATGACGAAAACACCTATGTACCTCAGGACCAAGAGCTAAGCTCATTAACTTCCTTGCCATCCAAACTAATATCTAGTGCCCCCTTACCCTCTTCAGGACTGTCAGGAGTGATGGAGGCTGTCATCTTGTGATCTCCCGGTCAGTCCTTGAGACCATGACCTGAGCCGAAGTCAAGATTCAGACACTTAACCCTACTGAGACATCCAGGTGCCCCATGGCCACTCTCTCTTATTCATTGAAAACTGTAGCATCTGACTTAAGGTCTTTCTCTTCATTTCAATCCCTGTTATTCTGATCTCTCATGCCTGTCTCATGCCCAGTGACTTTTTCCTCCACCCCAAGTCAACCATGTCTTCCATGGGTACACTCTGGGTCTTGTCTTTGCCAGAAATTGCCACATCTGCAGTCACAGCTCTAACACCGCCCTCTCCCACCACAGCCTCCTGTTCTTCTCGTTCACTTAAGAAAATACTTATGGCAATAGCTCTTTGAGCTCAGTAAAATGACCAGTCCACTGAACCATGATGTCCTACTCATCAGCCTCCTCTAATCTTCAGCTTCCATTTTACCCAGCTTGGACTCTGAGGTTTCGCATTGTAATCACTCCCTTAAAAATAGCCTCAATTCCAACCCCTCTCTGCCTCCTTTGCACTTGCCTGACAAAACCCCGGCACTGCGTTACACCCATCCTCCACCAAGCAGTTGGAGCCCAATAGGGAGAGATCTTCAGCTTTTTTTCAAGAAAAGCTGCAAATCTGAACTTTTCTGTGAAATCACTCTGTTTTGAAATTTAAATTGTTGGCAAAACACTGAGCTAGGTATAGAATTTATCTTGAGGCAGAGACTACATACTTTCAGTTTATTATCTCTGCTTGAATGGCTGTTACGCTTCAAGCAATGTCAAACTCCGTAGGCTCACATACAGGTGCTACATAATTGAGGCCCTGCTTCCCACTCAAGGTCTTCTTTCCTACCCCCTACTTCGTTCATTTTGCCTCAAGCACACTGAGCAAGCATATTGACCTCCCTCTTCTTCACACATGCCAGGTTCATCCCTCTGCCTTAGAGCTTTTGCATTCACTGCTCACTCTGCCTAGAATGCCCTAAGCCTTTCCTTTCACCCGCGAGCCCCCTTCGAGCTGCCCCCTTCCCCATTATCCTTCAAGTCTCAATTTAAATATCATAACCAGAGGGCTCCTGGCTGGCTCAGTTGGCATGTGACTCCATCTCGGGGTTGTAGGCTTGAGCC